TGAAGCATTAGATAGAAAAATAAGAGGAAATTGAAAATATTTCTTATGTTTTGCTTTGGGGGAAGTAGCATTCATTGTGAACATATTAAATGACACAATATAGACTTTTTGGGTGGCGAGTCAGAAATTATCCTCATAACCAGAGGGAAAATGATGATTTAAGTCAGGGGTTCTCAACCTTGGCAACTTTAAGACTTGTGGACTTCAACTCCCAGAATTCCCCAGCAAAGCAAAGCTGGCTGAGGAATTCTGGGAATTGAAGTCCACAAGTCTTAAAGTTGCCAAGGTTGAGAACCCCTGATTTAAGTGATCTTGCTCCAGAATCCATAGCAATATACAGATAGTCCTCGACTTACGACCACAGTTGAGTCCAATATTTCTGAGTTTTGCCCCATTTTGCGACCTTTTTACCATAGTTGTTAAGCAAACCACTGCAGTTGTTAAGTGAATCATACAGTCCTTAAGCGAATCTGGGCTTCCCCCATTGTCTTTGCTTGTCAGAAGCCAGCTGGGAAGGTTGCAAATGGGAATCACATGACCCTGGGACAGAGCAACCGTTATAAAAACATGCCAGTTACCAAGCACCCGAATTTTGATCACATGACCGTGGGAATGCTTACAACTGTTGTAAGTGTAAAACCTGATCATGTCACTTTTTCCAGTGCCACTGTAACTTCGAAGGATCACTCAACAAATGGCTATAAGTTGAAGACTACCTGTACTAACTAGCTCTGGAACATGGAAGCAGGTCAAAAATAGGGCTATAAGATCTGAATTAAATTCAGAATCAAAATTACAATCCATGATGTCTGTCAGGCCAGGGCTTTCAGCCAGAATTAAATCCTACTGGCAACTGACCTGTCATTAAAAAAGCAGGACCTCCAGATTGGAGAGTCTCCTGTCTTTGCTGCTTTGCTTCAGTTGCAACCGGAAAAAATGAGCCTCAGCTTCATCCTTATCCTTCTTTCCCCACAACAGTCAAGTTGCAGGTTTCACAAATCCCTCCTGGTAGCTACTATTTCAAGGCCAAACTGTACTCCCAATTTGCCTGCTAGTTTCATAACACACCCCATAATGCCAAGCCAGCCACAGAAAATAAAAATGAAAAGAGACTGCAGTCCTTCCTGTATTAGAACCCAAGCTCCTTATGTTATGTTGTGTTGTGTTATGCTGTGCTGTGCTATGCTATACTATACTATACTATACTATACTATACTATACTATACTATACTATACTATACTATACTATACTATACTCCAGGGGTCTGCAACCTTGACAACTTTAAGACTTGTGGACTTCAGCTCCCAGAATTCCTCAGCCAGTTAAGTTGTCAAGGTTGCATTATATTATATTATATTATATTATATTACTTTACTTTACTTTACTTTACTTTATTTTATTTTATTATTTTTAGTTATTATTTTATTTTATTATTTTTTATTATTTTTATTTTATTTATTTTATTTTATCTTATTTTATTATTTTATTTATTATTTTATTTTATTATTTATTTTATTTTATTTATTTTATTATTTTATTTAATTTATTTATTTTATTTTATTTTATTTTGAGGACAAATGGGTTAAGGGATTCCCAAACAGGTAAACTGATTTTATTTATTAGATTTTCATTCGAACTATATTATTTTATAAGTAACAAGGCAGCGAGCATGTTTAATACTCCTTCCTCCTCCTATTTACCCCAGAACAATCCTGTAAAGATGTGTTGAGCTGAGAGAAAGGAACTGGCCCAGAGTCACCCATCTGGCTTTCATGCTAAGGCAGGAGTAGAACTCACCATCTCTCGATGATTGGCCCAAAGTCACTCATCTGGCTTTCATGCCTAAGGCGGGAGTAGAGCTCCCCGTCTCCTGGTGATTGGCCCAAAGTCACCCATCTGGCTTTCATGCCTAAGGCGGGAGTAGAGCTCCCTGTCTCCTGGTGATTGGCCCAAAGTCACCCATCTGGCTTTCATGCCTAAGGCGGGAGTAGAACTCACCGTATCACATGACCTTAGAACACTGCAACCATCATAAAATGAACCAGTTGCAAAGCATCCGAATGACCATGAGGACGCTGCAATAGTGTGAAAAATGGTTAAACAAACTGTTAAACAAACTGTTCTAAGATGAGGACTGCCTGTGAAAATGATGAAATGCCAAATGGGAAAAAATTGCCGGGTGTAAAGGAAGAATCAAATTCTTTTGGCCCTGAAGAAAGTTGGATGTTTATGTACATCTGGGAGGTTTGCTTCTTTTTTGGCTTTCTAGAGCGGGGGTGTCCAACCTTGGCACTTTTAAGTTCTGTTGACTTCAACTCCCAGAATTCTCCAGCCAGCCAGCCAGAGCAGATATAGCCAAACTTGGTGACTTTAAGCCTGTGGACTTCAACTCTCACAATTCCCTAGCCCAGTGATGGCAAACCTTTTAGAGACTGAGTGCCCAAACTGCAACCCAAAACCCACTTATGTATCGCAAAGTGCCAACATGGCAATTTAGTCTGAATACTGAGGTGTTAGTTTAGAAAAAACAACTCATAGATTAAAACATCTTTTGTCTTAAAAGAAAAATATAATGATAAAGCTTTCAGTGATAACAAACAACTTTTTACTGAAAGGTAAAAGTTTGCATTTGGCATGCTTTTGAACAATTAATGTGATTTTTGCTGTTGTATGCATGCTGATAATTTGTCTAACCTTGGCTTATACTTTGTAAGTTTGAGAGCAACACATGCAGCACTCAGGTCATCTGTTAGTCTGTTTCTGGTGTCAGGTTTGATATAATTCAAAGCTGAAAACAGTGCACTTGCTCCAGAGGCTTGTTTTGGCTAGGAAGGGGCTTGAGAAATGGCTTTTTCCTGCAAAAACTTAGCCAAAGAGCAAGGCGCGCAGAGAGGGCTCTGAGTGCCCCCTCTGGCACACGTGCCATAGGTTCGCCACTACTGCCCTAGCCAGCCAGAACAGATGTGTCTAACCTTGATGACTTGTGGATTTCAACTTTATTCAGTGGCCTCTCTAACTTCGGACAGTCACTAAATGAAGAGTTGTAAGTCAAGGGCTACACCTGTATGTCCTTTCTATTAATCGAACGTGGAGAAAATCCTCTTCTAAAACTGGGAGCTGTTCTATTTTTGTAAACCCGTATGCTCATTTTTCTCCTCTGGCAAGGATGATCGGATGCAGAGCCAAACAAGAGTGCTTATGTCTTTAATTTATCTAAAGATGAGAGAATATGGATAGGTAGCATTTATCTTACCAGCATGACATAAGCTACAACTACCAGCACAGAGATTATGAAGTATTACTTATCGGTTCATTTTCTTGCGTGTATTGTAATAGTGATGGGCAGCTCCATTTAAATCCAATCTGGGGTCAGGAGGGTATGCAATCAAGTATTAATCTATTCCATCAGGTTCCCCCCCTCCATCCCCCTCCAAAAATATACATAAGCAATGTTGCAGTGGTTATAAATAACTTTTCTCCACTAGTCATTTTTGCATGAATCTTTCTCGAATGTATCCATGACTTCATGCAATTTTCCACATTTATGTTGTACATATTCAGCTTCTCCAAAGAGGAGAGTGTATCTATTTTTGATGATGGGAAATATTTTTAGACAGACGCTTGTGGAATTCTTGAATTATTCACCCAGCTGTGTCACAGTAGATTTGGCGGATCGCATCACTGTAGGAAATCCGCCAATGTCTTTGGCATCTGGTAATATGCAAATCAGAAATAATGAATACAGCTAGTCCTCAGCTTGGAAGCACAGTTGAGCCTAAGCAAGACAGTTAAGTGAATTTTGTCCCATTTTACAACTTTTCTTGTCACAGTTGTTAAGTGAACCACTGCTGTTGTTAAATTAGGAACACAGTTGTTAAGTGAATCTGGCTTCCCCATTGACTTTGCTTGTCAGAAGGCTGCAATAGGGGATCACGTAACCCTGGGACACTGCAACCGTCATAAATACACGTCACTTCTCAAGCGCCCCAATTTTGATCATGTGACCATGGGGATGCTGCAACAGTCGTGTGAAAAAAAAATCATGTCACTTTTTCAATGCCGTTATAACTTCAAACGGTCACTAAATGAATGGTTGTAAGTCAAGGATTGCCTATATAAGTTGCACCTACCTAGAAATAAAAGGGGAAAAAAACTTTCCGATAAGATTTTTATATAAGCAGAACAGGCTACCAAGGTTCTCTATAACTGGAAGTTTTTAAGAAGAGATTGACTTGCCTTCATAAATTGTGGGTGCTCCAACACTGCAAGTTTTTAAGAAGAGACTGGACAGCCATTTGTCTGGAATGGTTTAGGGTTTCCTGCCTGGGCAGGGGGTTGGACTAGAAGACCTCCAAGATCCCTTCCACCTCTGTTATTGTTAGTCTACTATTGGTAGGCCCAGCAAGACATGGACCTATCCATAAATTACATGAATTCTGCAGAAATCATCTGCTACATTTTTCATGGATTTGCTTCTAATTGAAATTATCTAATTAACCTAGCATGGAGACAAAAATTAGATTGTATAAGTTTCACTGCAATACCTCTGTTGTTCTGTACTCTGGATCTTCTATGAACTGCTTAATTTATAGCACTCTTAGCCGTTCACAGGTAACAGCCGGACTTATTTTTGAATTTGAATTGGTCTCATTGCTCTTAACATTGATAAATTGCAGCTGCCAAAATGGAAGATGAAATGAACAGCATATACAGTATTGTGTTTGCTTAGTATTCAGATCTTCACAATTAGAACATCCAGCCGCAGTTAAACAAATAATTGGTTTTCCAGGAAGGTGATCTTTTCATTCTTGACATGTAGAAGAATAGAATGCAATTTAAAAAATCAGAGAACAGAGATTGTAGCATGTTTAAATTCTGGACAGTGTCACATTTTGGCACAAGGTAAATGCTGAATAACAATTGCGATTGTGCTATACATAGTAGGGTATCTGAGCAAATAGACAACTCTAATAATGTTAGCCATTCTGTCTCTTTGCAGGCAAAGTGATCCGGTGGGCAGATCACACTCCTGGCAATCAGCCAAGTTCTCAGACACCCCAGCCGATCTCAGTATGATGCAAGTATCTCAGGGGACGATAAGCAGTCCTTGGCACCAAGCCTACCATCCAAGGTAAATCCTGCAACATCTTGATCACAGATCAGCCCCTAAATGGAGTGATATGTCAATTAGCCCCTTGGTCACTTTCTTCAGCTTTCCTGCTCTTAGCCATTGCCAGGTCTTGTTATTATGTATTTTCCCTGCCTCTGTGTGTGTGTGTGTGTATGTATTGCCCATGTAATACTTTGTCTTCCCATGTCTTTTTTCTGTTCTTCCTTTGGTCTTTCGTGGTGGCGCAGTGGTTAGAATGCAGCATTGCAGGCTAAGTCTGCCCACAGCCTGCAGTTCAATCCTAACAGGCTCTAGGTTGACTCAGCCTTCCATCCTTCCGAGGTCGGTAAAATGAGGACCTAGATTGTTGGGGACAATATGCTGACTCTGTAAATCGCTTAGAGAGTGCTGTAAAGCACACTGGAGCGGTATATAAGTCTAAGTGCTATTGCTATTGCTTTTTTGTAGGCCACTTTGGTCTCTCCAGTAATCAATAAACCTTCCTGGTATGCAAGCTTCAGTAAATCTTTACTGCCCTTCAGATATTGTTTTGTTTTTTTTTTACTTCTAGCAGCCACATGGATAATTTTTCTCCATGACAATCTGTCCACCACCTGTTCTTTCAAATCTCTTAGTGGTGCACTCTTTATCACTGTAATTGAGTCCATCCATCCTGCTTCTGGTTGTCCTCTTCTTCTCTTTCTTTCCAACTTTTCCAGCATTAGAACTTTGTCCATCATTTGTGCCTTGGATGAGAACTTTGGGATGATTTGTTCAATGATCCATTTGTTTCTTTTCTTGGATGTTCTCAGTGTTCTCGGGAGTCTTCTCCGACACCAAAATTCAATGGCATCCTGTCTGTCTGTCTATCTATCTATCTATCTGTATCCCACCTTAATTATTATTACTCAAGGTAGCAAACATATCTAGCACATCTTCCTTTTCCTATTTTCCCCACAATAATAACCCTGTGAAATAGGGTCAGGCTGAGAGAGAGTCATTAGCCAAGAGTCACCCAGTTGAGGTTCCCCATCTGTTTAAAATGTCAACAGATGAAAAAAACAGTGGAGAAAGTGGCCCTTAAACAAAAGAATGGCTAGTTCCCACAAAACAATTCTCTTCAATCTCTCTTTTATCATCTTGGTTTCTTTATGGCTCACCGCATTTCTCCCTTTTGGTCCCTGGTTAAATAAGTTGTTCCATTTCTTCCTGTTTTCCTTTGTATCCAAGCTTTTTTCTTCCCTGTAACTGATGATGGAAAAAAATCAACATTAGCTCAGAACCCACCCATGGAAAGAGTTGCTAGAGAAAAGACTTCATTTTTGAAATGGCAACTGCTCCCTTCAAAGCTGGAGAGGTGGATAACCCAGAGATAACAATCATATATTAATTTGGATCTAACATTTCCTGAAAGTCAGTTGTTAGGACTGAAACCAAAAGTCACCCTTAAGAGATTTATTTTGAATAAAGACTTAAATTTAGTTGGATTAAGCAGAAGGTAATGGTAGCATTCGACAGAGTGAAGCAGCAGATCCTGAGGGAAAGCAAAAGAGAGAGAACTACATGTTACACATCCTGTCCTGCTCTTGAGTTAAGCGGTCTTTCGATGCATCATAGACATTATTTGAAGAAAGATGTTTGGCTTGTAGCCTGAATGTTCGACATTATTTATTCTTACAAGGTGAAGGTGGGTGCCTTCAGATCAGTCTTGACCCTGGCAATTGTCCAAACCAATCCCAGCAGTTTTCATGGCAACATTTTTGACCGTGAATTACACTTAATGATCCAGGTTCACCCACTGGTTTTGTGGTTAAGGCAAGAGAAGATCTCATAGACTTCTGGTTTCTGGCCTGGTGTCATGGTTCCGACAGACAGTGCTTTAACCACTGTACCAAACAGGCTTTCAGTATTTGTGCTAGGCTTTGGCTATTCAGAAATCTCCATTTGTCCGCCAATTCAGACATCTTTTAACTAAAGAGTCTGATTATCTTGAGTACCACAGTCCTAAGTGATTCGTCAAAACTGTCAGGGAATTGTGCAGCCGGTGTCCAACTGGAGTCAGAGACAGCTGACATGAACTTGTAGTTTTATATTGAAAGGTTCTGGAACAAATGGAAATTGTTTAGTCTAACTGTTGCTTTCTTGCTTTTTGTAATCGGCTTCTGAACCAAAGAAATCTCATGCAAGTATGGGAAACATGTATATGGATGCAATATACTGAAGGAGGGAATAAGGGAGTGTACAGGAATGATTGATTTACAGCAAACAAGATAGTCAGGCCCATCAGTATATCATGAGGTAAATCATGAAGTAAATCACAGAACAGCCTACAGAGCCCTCAGAAGAAAAAGGAGGGGAAAAAGGAAACTCCTTCTTACCCAGCAACCAATCATAATGTAGATTGCCTCACTCTGTAGAAAGCCTGCACTCTCCAACCAATCAGCTACAACTGTGTGATACACTTTACTGTTCCAGCTATTAAATTAAATAACTTAACAAAAACAGGCCACAGTCTGAAGCCAAGAGTTCCTGCTTCATACTATTAAGATCCCCATATCCCACATTATAAAAATCAACAAAGGAGGTTTCAAAGATTTGAGAACAAAATATTTAGAGAGCATAGGGAGCCGGAGACATTCATAAAAAGTATATTATAAATTCAACCTGCTTTGAATTTGTTAGTCTATTTTTATATGAACAGTTACTAACCTGAAGGGTAATACATTACCTTCATGTTCAAATTGCCTGTCTTTAATATTTTCTTGCCTTTTGCACTGTATTTCTTGTTCTTTTGTAAGCGATGTCTCCTCAATTTCTAAAAGCTAGGTATGGTTTGCCTCTACTGTTTATAATTTTTTCCATGATAACTGTTATATATAGTTATATGCAGTTCTTACGTGTTTTAGGCTTTGTCACTGCAAATTAGAAGACGGCTTAACACCACTCAGAGCAATTCCTCTGAGGCTGGAATATTTTGCTATGTCTCATTAGGAAGCCTTGAAAGATCAAATCAAAGTTACGTTCAATTGCAGCTTGGAACTATGATAAAACTTGGGCCATTAGTCCTTCCAGCCTCTTGTTGACAGCTCAGAATGGAGACCGTACATTAAGTTCCAGGCATATTAGTCCTGCGCATATATGCAAAAATCTAGTCCACAAACAGTCAACACTAAATTGATTCTAAATAAGAATTAACAGGATTTAATAGGGATTGGGATTAGACATTTTATGGGAATGTAATGACTCCAGGTTGATTCCTCTCTTGACTCCACCTCTAGGCTCTGCCTATCCTTCTCCTATAACTGACCTGTATAAGCATTTTGTTGTTATTGGCATTTTTTTTTCAACCATACCTGGAGGTTGGGATTAAACCTGCAGTCTTCTCTCTTCTCTTGTTGATTTTTGACTCTTTATTATGCTATTGATGCCAGCCCTTCAAGGTAGACCAGGTCAGGAAACAAGAGTTCACAGAGAGACTGGAATTATATTTTACTGAGATAGGCTACAGTAGCAGAATTGTTCAGGTCTGTTGGTGTCTTCTCTTCTAATGCTCTTAAAATCCAGGAGTGGGGTGGGGGTGGGGCCACTTTGTAGTAATCTCCTATTTCCCTAGATTTAAAATATTCACATTATTTATTCAGCACCTGGTGCTTCCCTAACAATTTCTGGATTCATTTGTCAAGGTCATCTCCATAACTGTCTTCAACTCCTTAGTAAACACTGAACAGAACCTTTTTGTGTGATTTTTAATAATGCATTCATTTTTTTTTCCTTGACAGCTTATCAGATTAAATGGGCCCTGTTTGTAGCTTAGGAATTAGCGCTCTAGAACATTTTTCATGTTTTGTATTCATGACAATTCTTTGAAAGTAGTAATACTAATTCCCATATAATAGTCTTCTTCCGGAACGAGAGAGGATCTTCTGAATATGGTAGATAAGGGTGGGGGGGGGAATGAAATTGAAAATAAGGCACTGAGTTGATTCTCTCCTGCCTCTAGAATTTACTGAGATCAGACTAGGCAAGAATTTAAGATTACGGATAGCACTTCAGTCCAGTTCAGAAAAGTTTGTGTTAGTCTACTTTAGTCCAACTTAGACCAGTCTAATTTCATCTTTCTGCAGTCCTTAACAAAGCAGTGCAAAATTTCTTGAAGTTTGCCAGAAAAGGTCCTTATTACATACTCATGTGTCATGATGTTTCCAGTAATGATTTAATCTATTAGTAATGGAAGAACAGAATAACAGAGTTGGAAGGGACCTTGGAGGTCATCTAGTCCAACCCTCTGCTCAGGCAGGAAACTCCATACCATTGCAGACAAATGGTTGTCCAATCTCGTCTTAAAAACCTCCAGTGGTTTTTAAGTAGTGTGTCACATGATGCAGATACTTAAACCCAGGTTTTCCTAAATCTATATTTATCATTGAACCAATTAGCACAAAAATGGCCCTTTTTCGCTTTACCAGTTTAAAGTAGAGTTAGAGTTAAGTGAATCAGTTGTTAAATTAGGAACACGGTTGTTAGGTGAATCTGGCTTCCCTATTGACTTTGCTTATCAGAAAGGCACAAAAGTCACAGTTGCAGGGACCCCGGGACCCTGCAACTGTCGTAAATATGAATCAATTGCTAAACTAATTTGATCCATGACCACGGGGATGCCACAACAGTTGTAAGTGTGAAAAACAGTCATAAGTCACTTTTTTCAGTGCCATTGTAATTTCGAACTGTCACTAAATGAATTGTCGTAAGTTGAGGGCTACCATAGCAGTCTTCTTAACTTAAAGCCCTCATCTTGGACTTCAGTGCCAAGAATTCCCAGGCCAACACATTTGAAAAGAACACCTTTTTGTGGGTGGCTGGATTGACAAATCCAGGTCTGTTCACAGTAGCAATGACAATAGTTTGTGTGGATTTGATGAGGGACTACCCTAGCCTTCTTGAGAAGAGATGTTGTAATTCTGTTCGCTACCTTTTTGACTGGGTGTCCTCTGGGACAACCTTGGTTGATGACTTCCTGAAATTATTGACGTTGGCCAACTTTTTGCTTCTGTTTCCGCATCCATTCCTTGTTGCCTTCTTTCCCATGATGCCTGTTTAATTTCACAAAGCACAGAAAAATCTCCAGTATACTTGGAGTTTCCTGAAGGCTGTCAGCAGGAGGGGAGGAGAAAGACTTAGAAAAGAAGGACAGATTTCTCTCTCCCCCATCCTCCTCTTCTCCCGATCTTCCTTTCTTCTAATGATGGCTGAATATTTTGGTGATGTTTAGGATGCTTGTGATGAATTTCATGGGTGTAGCTGACTCACATGCATTTCCTTGCAAAGTCTTCTTCCTCCTCATCTGGAGAATTTCTCCATCTATTTTTTCCCCTCCCTTTACAGTGATAAATAAGAGACATGTGTTGCAATGTGAAAATCATTCTTTCTAAGAAACCAGGATGACTGCACACTAAGAACAGCACAAAGCCCAAATATGGGTTTTTCATCCCTCCTCTGTAAACTAAACATATCCCTCTGTCCCTTTATAAATCCATTCAACTCTCTCTCTCTCTCTCTCTCGCTTGCATATCCACGCTAACCAGTGTTCCCTTCTGTGTTTGTACGTCTGTCTTTCTCACTGGCTCCTGTCTTCAGTTCCTCCACCAACGATCTCTCCAACTTCGACCATGGCTTTTTAAGAAGAAGTCCCGACCAGTACAGTTCCAGGGGAAGCATGGAGAGTTTGGATCATCTGCCTGCGGGATACACCCATCCTTCCTGCCATCTTTCGCCGGCCAAGTCCACCAGTAGCATTGACCAGCTTGCTCACCTTCACAACAAGAGGGATTCTGCTTACAGCTCTTTCTCCACGAGCTCCAGCACCCCCGAATATCAACTCCCTCCCTTCTGCAAGGAGAGGTCCTATTCTATGGAGAACGTGCATTCTCGGGCCAGGCTGCAAGAAGGCGGCATGAGGCAGGCAGACATCAGGTACATTAAGACGGTCTACAATGCCCAGAGAGGAGTTTCAGAGGAATATGAAGTGAAGTCTTCTGCTCTCGTACCCAGTGGTGAGGCCCACCCTAAAGGTTACAGCGCCAGCAGGCCACATGGCCATCACAAAAGCCCACAGACACGGAATTCGTTGGACAACGAGAACCAGTACGCAAAAGGGCCTCCCATGCCACCTGCCCGAAGTGACAGCTACACAGCAATCAGGCACCATGACAGGCCTAGCTCTTGGTCTAGTCATGAGCAAAGAAAGGCCTTGAGGACCCATCCCAAAAATGCTTGGCTTCTCCTAGGCCAGGGCACGCCTCCTCCGGGTCAGCTCTCAAAACCGGCATTCCTAGAAGGACAACTCCACACTGTGATGGAGAGGAGTCCAGAGGGCAGCCCTACCATGAAGCCAAAACAAGGTTACCCTCAAGCTGCTCAACCAGGACAGCCACTGCTACCTACTGGGGTTTACCCCGTTCCTTCTCCCGAACCACATTTTGCCCAGGTTCCTCACCCTTCTGCGAACAACAGCGGGTTGGTGTATCCAGCACTTGCCAAAGAGAGTGGCCATGCTCCGCCTCCTGCTTCTTTTTCAGCTTCCTATGAAAAGGCTGTTCCCTGCAAGCCACTTCCTGTCATGGATGAGAATGGAAACCAAAGCATTCCAAGCAAGGCAACCGTCTTCTACCATCCCGAATGTGGACCATCCGGAGCAGGAAAAAAAAAGATGGACAATGAGACTTCGAAAGTCATCTTATATAGGACCCATCCTCAAGCCTACCCAATCTCTCCGAGACAGGAGGAGGAAGCAGAGCCCACCTACATAGCACAACCCAGCATCCAAGAAAGTGCAAATGATGCCCAATACTTGAACCATGCTTTTCAGCCTTGGTCATTCCACCTACGAGATGCAATGGCTGAGAGCAAAGCCAGCTGCCCATCAAAGGCATACTGTCCAGAAGACCAGCAAGAGGATCGGAATGCGAACCTGCCGAGAAATGATTGCGATCCCACCGCACAAAATCAGTGGAATCCCAATAAGGCGAAGCAGTACCTATTCTCTTCCTTGCAAAATATCCCAGAGAGTACTCAGCTTCAAAACCCCATGGATTTGAAGGAGGTGCAAGCATGTAGGAGTTGCCCGGGTGCCAAGTGGCATTTGGTTAACTATGCCAACCAGGAAGAAAAGAATGGTAAAGAGCAGGTGCCGGAATATTGGCAGGACAGAGAATGGCGTGCCACAGAAGATCACCGAGATGCAATTTCAAATGCTGATTACAACCATGGCAAGGAACCAAATTATGAGGAGCCTTCCTCTCCGTTGCTCCCAAAGGCCTCCGATTTCAGAGCTGACCAGTTCCGATCTTGCAGCAACAACAGCTTTCAGCCCCCCTGGTCTGGGAAAAAGGAGTCTAGGAAGAACCGATGTTCTGTGCTGGAGAAGGTCAGCAAGATAGAGCGACGGGAACAAGGTCATCAGCGGCCACAGAGTGCAAATAGCTTGAGCCAAAATTCTGGATCAAAGAAGTCCAGCGTTGAAGATAGCCGACGTAGACATAACTCTCAAGAGTATGGTCAGTTTCTGGATGAACATGGCAGGCCGGCCAGCACAAACAACTCAGACCTGTACCCAAATGTGCTCTACCCAAACGAAAGAAGTACCAGCAAACCAGAAAAGGTCAACCGGTATTCAGCTGAGCAACAGAGGGTAACAGCAGCGGCTTTGGTAGCACCGCCAGATCAGCAGAGCACCTACCACCAAGGGTGCTCTGGCAAGGAGTCACACAAAAAATCTGGGCAACTGCAGAGGAGCAGAAGTACATTCCAGTTGTTGGATGAACCCGAAAGAGAAATCTTACAGAAAGTCAGTGCCAAGGAACCGCACAGCTCACAGCGGGATGCCCCCCTTAACAGGACTTACAGGAATAGCATTAAGGATGCTCAGTCAAAAGTTTTGAAGGCCACCTCATTCAGGCGCAAAGACCTAAACATTAGTCCTGCCTTGGGGAAGGAGGTTCAGAGAAGTACTCCAAGACCAGCTTCAGCCCACACAGGGATGAGGAGCACAACAGCCTCGCCACATACCCCAAAGGAGAGGCATAGCATCACGCCGACAGAGATAAAGATGGATCCTACCAATAAAGAAGGTCTTCCAGGGCCTCTGCACGTGCACCGTATCGGGGGAAGGAAGCGGCTAACTGCTGAACAGAAAAAGAGGTCTTATTCTGAACCGGAGAAGATGAATGAAATAGGTGTGTCGGATAATGACCTCTCGCCGTCCTCGCTTCAGAAGAAGATGCTCCAGTTTATCTTTGCAGAGAGCACCGTGGCTGACCGGCGCAAGATCTTTGAGAAGGAGAACAAAACTTGTTCCACCATCAACCTTTCCAGGCCGGAGCTGAAGCAGCTGCAGCAAAACGCCCTGGCAGATTACATTAAGCGCAAAATTGGGAAACGCCCCTCTTCGGCTTCCCAAGAAAGGGAAGGATCGCAGACCCCATGCCGGCAAAGCAGTGGCCAAGATAGTCAGTCCTTGTCACCGGCTTCTAGCATGAATTCACTTCAAGACCAGAGTCTCTTTCATACTAGGGAGTCTCTAGAATGGGCCTCTAGAATGGGGCACGTTTATTCTCCTCTGCCCGGGCTTCATGGTTGCTTTAATCCCATTGAATTTGAGAGCAAGATGGCGGGCCACCCGAATCACAGTAGCAGCAAGAGCTCCACCCCCACTTGGCTGAAAGCAGATGGCCGCCCAGATCATCGAGTTAATCCCGAGCTTACGAAAAGTACTCAGACGGATCTTGACCTTTGCACCCAAGCACACCCCGTCCACCAGATCCTGGAGAAAAAAACACGGCTCATCAAGAAGCCTGGGAAATCAGCTTCTGCAGAAGACCTGCTGGATAGGACAGAAAACCAGCCTATGACCATGCACGTCCGATCCAGGTCATCTCCCTCAGCAGATAAAATGTGCCAGGTACGTACAGATACAGAACACATTTTACAAGTTCCTCATTGTTCGTTAATCTTGTAACTTCCTTTTTTATTTGCAAAGGTGTGTTTTCTGAAGCTCCAGTAGATCTAGTACAGGGGTATAAGGCAACCGTGGCTCTTTTTATGACTCGTGGACTTCACCTCCCAGAATTCCTGAGCCAGCATGGCTCAGCTTGAAAACCTCTCCCTTTCCCCTCAGCGTGGCTAGCTCAGGAATTCTGGGAATTGAAGTCCACGAGTCATAAAAGAGCCAAGGTTACCTACCGCTGGCCTAGGCCTAGGCCGCTTTATGACTCGTGGACTTCAACTCCCAGAATTCCTGAGCCAGCATGGCTCAGCTTGGAAACTTCTCCCTTTCCCCTCAGCATGGCTGGCTCAGGAATTCTGGGAGTTGACGTCCACAAGTCATAAAAGAGCCAAGGTTGCCTACCCCTGATTTCTAGTAGAATTTTAAGACATTTTTTTCTTTTTTGTAGACTAATTAGCAGCCCATTTTCTGCAGTCATATTTCCGTAATTTGGGTGGCAAGGTATTACGGGGGCCCAGAAGTTTGATCATGGGTATAATATAAAGGTAGTTCTCAACTCACAATCACAACTGAGCCCAAAAAGTGACTCATGACCATTTTTTTCACACTTAACAACCATTGCAGCATCGCCACGGTCACATGATTAAAATTCAGCCGCTTGGCAACTGACTCATACTTACGACGGTTGCAGCATCCCGGGGTCAGGTGATCCTCTTTTACGACAATTCTGACAAGCAAAGTCAATGGGGAAGCCGGATTCACTTAACCACCATGTTCCTAACTTAACAACTTCAGTGATTCACTTAACAACTGTGGCAAGAAAGGTCGTAAAATGGAGCAAAAAAGTCACTTAAACAAATGTCTCACTTAGCAACAGAAATTTTGGGCTCAAAATTGTGGTCATAAGTCGAGGACTATCTGTACTGTCCTAGCCCTTAGTTTATTTTAATCACAGTTGGCTGAATAATTCACAATTAGCAGGATAGATCTCATACAAAGCCATAATCTGTGGCTCACAAGAGACAATAAGCAGGGTCACCTTTGTTGTTGTTAGTTGCGAAGTGTCCGACCCATCACGACCCCATGGACAACGTTCCTCCAGGCCTTCCTGTTTCCCCTCCCCCCCATCACCCTGCATTAATCCAAAATCTAATATGACGGGGGTTCCCAGTCAATGAGATATAATTATATGATCTTTCTGTGCATTTGAATTATCACCCTGGCCAGAGCCAGGGTTTCCAAGTATGAAAAATTCGGAGACCGGAAGGAAGAAAAAAAAAGAGCTTGGGAAAACACCAAAAAAAAAAAAAAAGGCTTTTCTCCAGATGCTAAAGATCACATATTTTGAGGAGACGGGATCCCAGCCGGTCATAATTTACTAGGCCCAAAGATTATTTTGGCTGTTGATTGCCTTTCTCTGTTATAGGTGGGGAAGGCAGCAGCTGGTGAGGGAGGGGACCTTTCACTGCTCACCCAAATTTATACGCCCCGGAGATCCATCAGGCATGCAGGCTGAGACAGGCTAAAAGAGAAGCTGCTGCGAAAGAGAAGGAATGCAGGGCTGAAGACAGATCGGCTGGCGAGATTGCACAGCTATCAATTTTCTCTGTTCTTTAAACAAATTCCTTTGGTGACACGGTTGCATAATTTATAGCCAGGCTGCACGGAACATTATATTCCCTAAGGCGAGCCTGCAATATATATATATATTGCAGTCCAAGCTGGGGCCAGTGTGAAATAAACTGCAACTGAAATAAAGTCTTCCAGAAATTATCAAAACTCAGATAAACTTTGTTTTATCCGTAGCCATGCTGGGCCTTCCCCTCTTTCTCCTCTCTTAAAAAAAAAAAGAAATATGGCTGGATTCCAAAGAAAATAAGGGCCATTAAGAAGCCCAAGAGGGAGCATTGTGGTTATTTTTAACCATTTAGTTGTGTCTGACTCTTGGTGACTGTACAGGAAGTCCTCGACTTACGACCACAGTTGAGCCCCAAATTTCTGTTGCTAAGTGAGACAGTTCTTAAAGTGAATTTGGACCCATTTTACAACCTTTCTCGCCACTGTTCTTAAGTGAATCGCTGCAGTTGTTAAGTTAGTCACACGGTCGTTAAGTGAATCTGGCGTCCCCCATTGACTTTGCTTGTCAGAAGGTCGCAAAAGGGGATAACCTGACCCTGGGACACTGCAACGGTCATAAATATGAACCAGTTGCCAAGCAGCCGAATTTCGATCACGTGAACGTGGAGGTGGCAGCAATAGTCGTAAGTGGGAAAAACAGTCGTAAGTCGTTTTTTCCAGTACCGTTGTAAGTTCGAATGGTCACTGCATGAACTGTTGTAAATCAAAGATTATCTGTATGTGAATCCACCCATCATTTTCCATCATTGTGTTAATTGGGATGCTTTGTGTTTCATAGCAGAGAGAGAGAGAAGAAGAAGGAGAATACCAGATTTTTTTTTATTAGGGCTCAACCGTCATCCAGGCCGGAGAAATCCAGATCTAACCCAGATCACCATTTTTATTCTGAAGACCAGATAGCAAGCGAGAGTATTCAAAGAAGATTGAAATAGATTAAGGAAATTATCTTGTTTCTTGTAAGGCAGCTTTCTAAGTAATCATTTAGTGGATATCCCATCTAAGGCATGCCTGTTTCTTGGCAGCTCTTCACAGCTTTTATTTGCATCGAGCCAAACGGCACCACAATATACATATATGGGATAAAGAGTAACTACTTATTTATCAGCTAAAACTCCTGTTTTCTTTTGGGCACACGATGCGGTTTTATTAGCAACGTATGTTAAAGAGTCTCCCTACGATTACAATTGGGCAAGCAATTATACCATTGGAAAATATATCCCCATGCTGTTTTGGAATACAGATAGTCCTTGACTTATAACAGTTCATTTAGTGACTGTCCAAAGTTGCGACGGCACTGAAAAAAGTGAATTAACAACCCTTGTTCACAGTTACAACCCTTGTGGCATTCCCCCACGGTCATGTGATCAAAGTTCAGACACTGGCAACTGACTCATATTTATGACGCTTGCAGAGTCCCAGGGCCCCTTTTGCAACATTCTGACAAGCAAAGTCGGTGAGGGAACCCGATTCGCTTAACAACCGTGCTACTAACTTAACAATATGCAGTGATTCACTTAAGAACGGTGGCAAGGAAGATCTTAAAATGGGGCAAAACTCACTTAACAAACATCTCACTTAGCAACGGAGATCTTGGGCTCAATTGCGGTGGTAAGGTGAGGACTTTCTGTAATAGACCCAAATCTTTACATTAAACCAGGGGTAGGCAACCTTGGCTCTTTTATGACTCGTGGACTTCAACTCCCAGAATTCCTGAGCTAGCCATGCTGAGGGGAAAGGGAGAGGTTTCCAAGCTGAGCCATGCTGGCTCAGGAATTCTGGGAGTTGAAGTCCACGAGTCATAAAGGGGCCACAGTTCCCCATACTGGCTGAGGAATTCTGGGAGTTGAAGTCCACGAGTCATAAAGGGGCCACAGTTCCCCATACTGGCTGAGGAATTCTGGGAGTTGAAGTCCACGAGTCATAAAAGAGTCAAGGTTGCCTACCCCTGCACTAAACCCTTAAACAGTCGGCCAGACACAGGACGCTTCAGCTGGCACAGGAAAAGAAGGCATGACAGCTACTTCTCAACTTACAACTACAACCACTGAACAACCACAATTTAGCCAAAAATTTACATTGCTAAGCAACAGACTTACAATCTCATTTAGTGACGGTTCCAAGTTACAACAGTACTGAAAGAAGTGACTTACGGCCATTTTTTCACACTTAGGACCATTGCAGCTTCCCCAGGGTCACGTGATCAGAATTCAGATGCTCGGCAACTGACTCACGCTTATGACGGTTGCAGCATCCCGGGGTCACGTGATCCCCTTTTGCAACGGAAACAAAGTCAATGGGAAAGGCAGATTCACTTAGCAACCGTGTTACTAACTTAATCACCACAGTGATTCACTTAACAACGGTGGCAAGAAAGGTTGCAAAAATGGGACAAAACCCACCCAACAGCTGCCTTGCTTAGCCACAGACATTTTTTTTTTTTGCTCAGTTGTGGTCATAAGTTGAGGACTACCTGTAAATGCAGCTGTGTGTTGCTCAGTGGTCATTGCACAGTCATATTCCAGTGAGGTCATAACCTCAAGCTGTAATTTATATCTCTATGCAATCTAATATCCATTCTCCTTGTCTGCCAAACAGTCCTTTGGGTCTGACATTCCCAATAATATCCCAATTAAACCATCTTATTTTGCTCTTAAAATAGTTAGGAGAATTTAACCCCCAGGGGTTTCTCATGCTATCCAACAACTTTATTCCTTGCATTCTCAGGTCTGTACAGGTTACGTTTGCGAGGCTCGCTCAAATCCACAGGCTTTTTCTTAAGCCACAATCAAGCAATTGCACCACATGAAGACCAAATCTTAATCTCACCTGGATTCTAAATATTTCAGCTAGCTTCCTTGCCCTTTATCGTTCTCAAAAACAGGCAAAGAAAAGATTGTTCCTCTTTTGCCAGCCTAAGAAAAGTCGTAGGAGTCCCAAGAAACAGGGACGAGCAAATTTTGCTGGAAGTGTATTTGTGTTTCCAGTTTTTCCAGCAGAAGTTTCAGGCTTTTAGTATTTTACATGGCAGGCAGAAGTGAGACGGGCAAGATTCACTGATATGCAGATGCATTGATAGAGGAACACTAGTAGCACCCACATCCGCTGCAAAAAATAAAATAAAATTGGATAATCAGCAAGCATGTGAGACAGAAACAGAGGCGGAGGCTGGTCTTTTTCTGTCTGGGAGCATAAAGGCAATTCAGTTAATCTGTCCCTTCCAAAAGGTTTGTCTTCCTCTTCCTTCTGTCCACTTGAGTACAAGTAATTCCTCGATTTATGACCGCCATTGAGCCCAAAATGTCCATGTCACCTGTTCAAAATTCCCCGGCAACTGGCTGGGAAAGTAGCAAATGACAATCACATGACCCCCCTCCCGACATTTGAACCTTTGTAAACATGCCAGTTATCAAAAGTGCCCAAATTTTGATCACGTGACCTTGATGCTGCAAATGATCAAAAGTGCAAGGACTGGTTGTAAGTCACTGATTTCACTTCTGATGTAACTTCAAATGGTTGTTAAACGAGTGGTTGTAAGTTTGGGGACTGTCCATAAAGCAGTCGTTGTATTAGTGTGGGCACCTAGATCCTATTTGCTGTAGTTCTCTTTTTATAAAATACGTGGCTTTTTTAATTTGCTTTTAACTTCCCCACTCTTCTCCTTAAAGGATTTCCAGGTGGAAGATAGTAATCAAATCTCTCATTTTATGAAAGATCCTTTCTATGTACTGGGTGCTACAAGCAGGTAAGTGTGTTTGTGTGTGTGTGTGTGTGTGTGTTTGCAGGCATGCTAAATGCGTAGAAATATTATTTCTAAAATCTACAGCTGTAAAAGTCAGTAAGCTGGCTTTGTTGGTGATGGAGGGCGCCCTTTTCTTCAGTCAAAGAGCTCCGTGTAATTCCAAAGGCTCATCAGCCAAATTGGGCTAGTTTTCATTTCTCATTAATTGCTTACCCAAATGTGATGGGCTTTGCGTCAGCTCAAGACAGGAGTGAAGCCCGAAACTACAGCCTAACAATGCAGAGAAAGAAAAGACAAGAGAGGGGGAAGGAAGGAAGGAGAAAGAAAAGAAGGAAGAGAAGGAAGGAAGGAAGGAAGGAAGGAAGGAAGGAAGGAAGGAAGGAAGGAAGGAAGGAAGGAGAGAGAAGGGAGGGAGGGAGGAAGAAAGGGAGAAAAAGAAAAAAGAAGAAAGGAAGAAAAAGAAAGAAGGAAGGAAGGAAAGAAGGAAGGGAGAAAAAGAAAGAAAGAAAAAAGAGGAAGGAAAGGGAAGAAAGAAAGGAAGAAAAAAAGAAGGAAGGAAGGAGAAAGAAAAGAGGAAAGGAAGAGAAAGAAAGAAAGAGGGAAGGAAGGAAGGACAAAGAAAGAGAGAAAGAAGGAAGGGAGAAAAAGAAAGGAAAAGAAGGAAGGAAGAAAGAAAAAGAAAGAAAGAAAAAAGGGAAGGAAGGAAAGAGGGAAGAAAGGAAGGAGGAAAAAGAAAGAGAAGGAAGGAAGGATAATTAGAGCTTAGAGAGCATTCAAAGAGATGCTCCTCACATTGCATCAGCTTTGAGTGAAATGCTGGCTCTGCCAGAAGAGTTGATAGGATTTCTTCCAAAACTTCCCAGTCACCTCCACTGCTACAAACACCCTCAAATGCTTTACTTCCTTCGCAGCCTCACTGTGAGACTTACGATGACTTCCAGCAACCCCTAAACTTAGCCTGTGCTAAGCCTTGCAGACTTCACAGCTGCCTCAACATTCAGAAGGGAGGGCAGGTGGCTTGCAACAACATGCTTTGGGAAAGGACTCCCTTCAGATGCTTTGCATATCCCACATAATTACTGCTCCAGAATGGCAGGGGAATCATGTGAGAACTGTTTCAGAATGTCGTATATCAGTGGTTCTCAACCTGTGGGTCGGGACCCCATTTGGGGTCGAACGACCATTTCACGGGGGTCGCCAAACAAGGCTGTCCGCCATTTTTTCCCCCATTTTCTTTGGCCATGCCCCTGGCACCCGGTGATGTATAAGTGGTTGGGGGTCACCACAACATGGGGAACTGTATTATGGGGTCGCGGCATTAGAAAGGTTGAGAACCACTGTCTTATATGAACCTAACGGTATTTGGTGTCATGCTCCCTCATGGAGTGAGGGTATAACTGGGACCTTTGATTGTGTTAAACGTTTCCCCTCCTCTTTCCCCCCCCCCCCCGTTTTATTTCACTTTGAGAAAACTCTGTTTTCTTGCACTCTCTCTCTCTCCTAGGTCATTTGGCAGTAGCAAAAGAGGCCACCTAGAAAAATCGGCCTTCACGCAATACCGTCCTCATCACAGCAGTGAGAATGTGGGGAGCTCAGGGCCAGCCGCAGAGAAGCAGAAGGTCCCTGATATTCTCAGACATCACAGCCGCACTTCGGCCTTCGTCTCCCCTCGCCCAGATACGAAGGAGAAGCACTCTGATGCCAAGCCGGGCTTCAGACGGGTCACCCCTTCCAAACCTAGCTATTCTTCCCGCAGTTCGGCCTCCTCCACCCCGGCTCTTTCAGACTTTTCAGCTGCTGGAGACAACACGCTCACAAGATGGCCGCCAAGGACTGACAAAGAAGACAGTAACAAAGCTGAGGCCCAGGTCCTGGACGGTGTCAGTTACCCAGGCAAGGAGCCAGCCGAAGAGACAGCTTGGAGATCGAAGTCTACTCTGCCTCAGCGACAACCCCCACCTAAAATCAAATGGGCTAGGGAGGACAGCCATCCAAAGAGCTCCATTTCTGTTCAGACATCTGGACAGAAGGTTTTCCAACAGTGGCATGGGATCCCCTCTAAGAATAGCTCCTTCTCTGAGCCAGAATCTCTCTCCAGTCAAGGAAGGCTCTCCCTTCGCATCTCCGAAACCTACCTCCAGATGTCCCCGCCGCCGTTCTGTCAAGAAGAGGACAACGATGACGTTTTTATCCAAGAAGCACAGACTCATCCTGGGGGTGCTATCTCAGAATATCCACCCCCTCCGCAGAGTCCCAGTGACAGCCTAGAAGAATTTCCATCTCCGCCCCCAAGTGTGGTATTAGAAGAGGATACCCCGGCATCAGACAGAGAGGAGAAGATAACCACGAGGTATGGCGGTGGCTTTTAAATGACTGTTAAAGTCACTGCAGTGACTTTTCCAGCTCTTTCGGTTCTTTGTATAGGATGTGGGGTCCTTAGGGCTTTCTGAGTTGGGTTGTTTTCTTGCAGGCATTCCGTTATCCATCTAGGATAAGTGACATGACCAATTTTCACATTTACGTGGCAGCGTTCCCGTGGTCACATGATCAGAATTTGGATGCTGGGTAACTGACAGGAATAGAATAGAAAAGAATGTAATGGAGTGGAGTGGAGTGGAATGGAATAGAATATGGAATAGAATGGAATGGGATAGAATGTAGAGTAGAACGGAATGGAATGTAGACTAGAACAGAACAGAACAGAATATGGAATGGAATGGAATGGAATAGAATAGAATAAAATAGAATGTAGAATAGAATAGAATTAATAGAATAGAATAGAAGAGAAGAGAAAATAGAATAGAATAAGAATAGAATGGAATAGAATAGAATAGAATAGAATAGAATATAGAAATGAATGGAATGTAGAATAGAATATAGAGTAGAATAGAATTAGAATAGAGTAGAATTAGAATAGAATAGAATAGAATAGAATATAGAATATAGAATATAGAATATAGAATATGGAATGGAATGGAATGTAGAATAGAAAATAGAATAGAATAGAATAGAATTAATAGAATAGAATAGAATATAGAATATAGAATGGAATGTAGAATAGAAAATAGAATAGAATAGAATAGAATAGAATAGAATAGAATAGAATTATTGGCCAAGAGTGATTGGACACACAAGGAATTTGTCTCTGGTGCATAAGCTCTCAGTATACCTACAAACAACAATGTAATATAGTCGGTGTACATACAAATGTACAAACAACATGTACATACAAACAACAAGATAATATACTCATATGATACTAATAGAAGAAGGTAGTGAAAAGATAATAATAATGCAGCCATACCACATGGGTAAGTATCCTTAGACATAAGAAATATAGCCATACCAGAAAATTACTAAAAAAACATATATATTTTAAGCCAGAATTATTTTTGTCAGGCATAATTGTAGGAAATTATGGGAAAGAGTGTATATAACTAATTTTACATGTATTAACCGCAGCGAGAATTGTATTCACTCAACACTGGAAAAATGAAGATTTACCAACGGAGGAAGAGTTAACTAAAAAAAATTTTAGATTGTGCAGAAATGGATAGATTGACATTGAAAATGAAGGAGAAAGAAGATTCAGTATACTTTAGAACATGGGATACCTTTTACCAATGGCTAGAAAAACGAGGCAGAGAGAAAGGAATTTAACAGGTATTAGTAAGTTAAATGTTGGAACCCAGACATTATGTTGCTGATAAAATATTAAGCATTTGTGACTGTAAAAAAAATAATAAAAATATATGTGAAAAAAAAAGAAATATAGCCATACCACATGGGTAAATATCCTTAGACATAAGACAGTACTGTGATAACTAGGCTGCCTAAAGTTGTGTTATCTTTCCTGCTCGTTATCAACAGGAACCTCAAAGCTTTCTCCAGGGACTTCAGTGTGAGGGAGAAACCAGGGCTGGATTTCCTCAGGACCAACATTTCTCCATCCGTTGGGTCTTCCGAACCCAAAGCTCTTGGACCCACCCCTTCTCCGGACGCCCCAGACCGCCATGCCGCCATTGAAGGAGCGGTTGAGAAGGAAGCTGCAACGGCAAACGGGGAATCTGAAAACAAGGAGCTCCGTCTGAAGAAGACTAAAAGGAAAGAGAAAACGCGGGAAGATCTGAAGGAGGAGTCCTTAGCGAAGGAAATTGTGCACAAGGACAAGACGCTGTGTAGCATCCTGGATCCCGATTTGAAGATGAAAACTACGATGGATCTCATGGAGGGGATTTTTCCCAGAGGATCCAGGGTGCTGAAAGAAAGTGCAAAGAAGAGAATAATGCAGAAAAGGATAAACGATTCTGCCAGTAATTTCGCTCCAGCTGGCAACAAGTAAGCTTCTTTTTTTATTATTATTAAAAAGTTTTACAAAAATTACAAAATAAACCCCAAACCCACCCACCCTTCCCCCTCTCCCCCACTTCCCAGAGCTGAATACAGGGTAAAAAATATCATAATCATAATCTAACTAACATTAACCAATTATGTAGATAAACAAATATAATGTGCTTTCACTCCCTTTTAACACAGAATAAACAATTTGCAAATAAACTTAATCATATAAACAAATTAAAATCCTAATTCATAAACAATACAATATAATAAAAATTCCACTATACTAAACTAATAATAATAATAATAATAATAATATTCTAAAATTTATTCATAAAATAAATGGAACTTTTTAGTCCCAAAGTAAGCTTCTTTAAGTTTTTACTCCATGTGTCCTTTTGTAATTTATTCAGGGAGTTGTTGGGATATTGGTGGTCCTTGACTTACAACTTTTCTTTTAGCGAATGTTTGAGAGTTACAACGCCACTGACTTGCCACTAGTCCTCATACTTACAACTGTTGCATTGTCTCCACGGTCCCATGATCAAAATTCAGGCACTTGGTAACCAGTATGTATTTACGGCGGGTAACACGTCCTGAGGTCATATGATCGCCAATTGTGACCTTTCCAGCTGATATCTGACAAACAGCGTCAAGGGGGAAAGCCAGATTTGCTTAATGACATGATCCACTTAATGACTGCAGTGATTCACTTAACACCCATTGTCAGAAAGGTCATAAAATTGAGCACAACTTATATAACAGTGATGGCGAACCGTTTAGAGACCGAGTGCCCAAAAACCGCCCTGCCCCGCCCCCTACTCCACCCCCCGCTCTGCCCCATCCACCCACAGGACCACCCACCGCCTCCATGGGCCACCGCAGATTGCCCAGGCAGCCCTGCAGCACCATAGTGGCCACACCCTCCACCTGCGCCCCGCAGCATCATCTACGTGCGATGGGGCAGAGTATTCTCCCTGTTGCCCAGCTGCCATGTCCTTGGCTACGCTGTTCCGCGTGGACCGCGCCCGGGGGCGACTCTCCGGGGGGCTGCTGGTGAGGAGGGGGCCCCAGGGGGAGGCGGGGCTGGGGCGACAGCGCATGTGCCCACAGAGAGGGCTCTGAGTGCCTCCTCTGGCACGCATGCCATAGGTTCGCCACCACTGTTGTATAACAATTGCCTTGCTTAAATTCTGGTTCCAACTGTGGTTAGAAGTCAGGAGTCTTCAAACTTGGCAACATTAAGACTTGTGGACTTCAACTCCCAGAATTCCTCAGCCAGCCCCCAGCCAGAGGCAAACAGCTGCACTACGCCGAAACTGGTCCATTTGCCGCCACGCGCGAGGCGGCAAATGGCCGGTTTCGTCATGGTGTAGCTGTTTGCCGTCTCGCGTATTGCGCCCAATGCGCCCGTGGAACAAGTGAGACAGGTTTCCACCCACCTGCCGCATGCATCGCCATTGCCGCCACCGCCATTTCCCACCACCACCATCCGCACAGATCACCCTGCCGCCACCACCTGGGAAGCGCCGAAACTCACTTGCAAGTCTGGGGGGCTGGAGTTTCCTGGTGTAGCCATGCCAAACCATGCCACCAGGCTTCCCACTGGCCAGCAGAAGGGAGATTGTGGCAAGAGCGATCTTTTTCCCGGATAGGACTATCTATATTTGACTATATAGGACTGTCTATATTGGTTGGCTCATCCGCTTGTCTTTTGCCGTTTATATTTAGCCTTCTGAAATAGGATGTCACTGTGTGGTTGTCAAAGGTGCTGGATTGTGAGAAGACCCAAGCTCTTGTCCTCCCCAGTCACTCCCCCTCAGCCCTAATCAGCAGTGAGGGTCTGGAACAAGCCACCTCATTAATCCCTTGTTTGCCTCAGGCGTTGACTGATAGCTTCACTGGAAGAATTAGGCCAAGCAGACTCTCTGCAGCTCTGCAGGATAAACACAAAGAAAAGCCATCACAGCCTATCTCAGGGGTCTTCAAACTTGGCCCTTTTATGACCGGTGGACTTCAACTCCCAGAATTCCTCAGCCTGGTTGAGGAATTCTGGGAGTTGAAGTCCACCAGTCATAAAAGGGCCAAGTTTGAAGACCCCTGGCCTATCTGATGTTTCTGAAGATGGACCTAAATATTTTATAGTCAGATTCTTAGGAAAATAAGCTTTTGAGGAATCCTTAAAAGGCTGGCCTCTTAGATTGTTTTGTTTTGTTTTGTTTTTGCAGGAATAGCCTCACACCCAGCCCATCATTTTACATCTATATGCTACAAGTTTTGTTTTGTTCCCCCTATTATCTATGTAGCAAATGGCACTTTTTGCTTAAATGTTATCTGCCAAAGATTTTTTTAAAAAACTTGTGCATTCTGCTGTTTAAGTGGAATGAATAGAGTTTAAAAAAGGAAATAACAGGTCATCCTTGACTTATGACCACAGTTGACCTCAAAATTTCTGCTGTTAAGCGAGACAGTTCTTAAGTGAGTTTTGCCTCATTTTACGACCTCTCTGGCCATAGTGGTGAAGTGAATCACTGCGGTTGTGAAGTTAGTAACGCTCTTGTTAAGTGAAACTGGCTTCCCCATGGACTGGGTTTGTCAGAAAGCCGCAAAAGATGAGATCACATGAACCCGGGGCACTGCAACCGTCCTAAGTGTGAACCAGTTGGCAAGCATCCAAATTTTGATCACGTGACTTTGGGAATGCTGCAACAGTCATAAATGTGAAAAATGGTCTTTAATCGCTTTTTTCAGTGCTGTTGTAAACAGTCACTAAATGAATGGTTGTTAAGTCAAGGTCTACTTGTACTCAAAGAGAAAATGTGTTTAACGGTGATCAAGGGCTACTGCAGGAAATTTAATAACGATGATGATGGTAGTGGTGGTGGTGGTGGTTGAAGGGACCTTGGAGGTCATCTAGTCCAACCCTCTGCTCTGAGACATGCTTGCCCATGATTTCCTTCTGCAGTGTGCAATTTGAATAAGAGGGCTAGGGAAGCCTTTTAAAGTTTTAATTTGGATTCCTGTGCTCAGAAAGGAGGATTAAATGCTTTATGATACCTCTGTGCAAGTTCTTCGTTCACTTGAAATTAAACCTGAGAATCAAGTTTGTGCAGAAATATGCGATTCTTTAAGACAGTGGTTCTCAACCTTTCTAATGCCGCGACCCCATAATACAGTTCCCCATGTTGTTGTGACCCCCAACCACTTATACATCACCGGGTGCCAGGGGCGTGGCCAAAGACAAGGGGAAAAAAATGGCAGACAGCCTTGTTTGGCGACCCCCGTGAAATGGTCGTTCGACCCCAAATGGGGTCCCGACCCACAAGTTGAGAACCACTGCTTTAAGAGATTAATGACTGGGGAGATCCTTGGAAGTAAAAAAAAAAAAAAAGATAGTTGGCTTGCACCCTCCAGTGGTGGTCTGGTGTTACCATCAAGGTCCTTGAAGAACATGTCCATGATAATAGAATAATTCTATCTAGTGCAGGGGTAGGCAACCTTGGCTCTTTTATGACTTGTGGAATTCAACTCCCAGAATTCCTGAGCCAGCCATGCTGAGGGGAAAGGGAGATGTTTCCAAGCTGAGCCATGCTGACTCGGGAATTCTGGGAGTTGAAGTCATAAAAGAGCCAAGGTTGCCTACCCCTGATCTAGTTTAACCCCCTGCTTAAGCAGGAGACCCTATGCCATTTCAGACAAATAGTTGTCCAATCTCTTCTTAAAAACTTTCAGTGTTGGAGCACCCACAACTTCTGGAGGCTAATTGTTCCACTGGTTAATTGTTCTAAATGTCCAGAGATTTCTCCTTATTTCTAGGTTGCTTCTCTCCTTGATTAGTTTCCACCTGTTGCTTCTAGTCCTGCCTTCAGGTGCTTTGGAGACTAGCTTGACCCCTTCTTCTTGTGGCAACCCCTGAGATATTGGAAGACTCCTAGTATGTCACCTGTAGTTCTTTTCATTAAAGTAGACATACCCAATTCCTGCAACCGTTCTTCATATGTTTTAGCCTCTAGCCCCTTAATCATCCTTGTTGCTCTTCTCTGCACTCTTTCTAGAGTCCCAGCATCTTTTTTTCATATTGTAGCAACTCAGACTGGATGCAATATTCCAAATAGGGTCTTACCAAGGCATAAAATGGTAGTAATACTTCACATCACTTTTAAATTGATGTCAATCAGCATTCATGCCCCCATCTGGACATCTTCAGTGTCTGTAATTTCCACCTTGCCATGATCACCTTTGAGACCTCTGAAAGTTTAGGTGCTTAACTGGGAGGTTGACCAATTGATATAAGCTGAGATTTAATTCTCAAAGCAACTCACAACCAGAAAGAAAAACTCATTTCTTGCAACGTATTTTAATTGGCACAGGAAGGCCAGAAATATTCCTCTACATTCCCATTTATATATTTGCTCTGAACTGTGTTTAGGAATGATAAGAAGGAAGCTGCTATAATGGCGGTCACCTGCCCGACGTATTACAGTGTGTCGATACCCAAAGCTGAACTTTTGAATAAAATCAAGAATTTGCCTGAAGAAGCAAGCGGGGATGATGAACAGGTGGACATCAATGAGAAGAAGGTGAGTTTTGAGCATGCCCCGTGCAGAAGGGACTGGCATACTCCTAAGCAGAGCTGTGTGAATCCGAAGACATCCATGCAATCAGAGATTTACATCAAAATGACAAAAGCAGCATGCCACTGTTGGGATGTCAGCTCCACCTTTTCACAGTGCATGCACAAAAGGGGCGGGGCCTATACTGCACTGATGAAATGCTACTGTCATTTGACTTACCCTGCAATGATAAGAAGGGGGGGGGATGGATAGAGATAGATAGATAGATAGATAGATAGATAGATAGATAGATAGATAGATAGATAGATAGATAGATAGATCTAGATACATTAGATAGATAGATAGATAGATAGATAGATAGATAGATAGATAGATAGATAGATCTAGATACATAGATGGATGGATGGATGGATGGATGGATGGAGATAGATAGATAGATAGATAGCAGGTAGATAGATAGATAGATAGATAGATAGATAGATAGATAGATAGATAGATAGATAAGATAGATCTAGATACATGGATGGATGGATGGATGGATGGATGGATGGATGGTAGATAGATAGATAGATAGATAGATAGATAGATAGCAGATAGATAGATAGATAGATACATACATACATACATACATACATACATACATACATACATACATACGGTAGGTACGGTAGATACGGTAGATAGATGATGGATGGATGATAGATAATAGTAGTAGTAGTAAAGTTGGAAGGGACCTTGGAGGTCATCTAGTCCAACCCTGTGCTCAGGCAAGAAAGATAGATAGATAGATAATATATATAGATAGAGAGAGAGAGATCACTCATAGGTTGTTAGTTTGCCTCCCAGTGGTGATTGATTTCTGTTTGCTTCTTATCAACCAGGCTGAACTCATTCAGAGCTTGACCCACAAACTGGAGACTCTGAAGGAAGCCAAGGAGAGCCTGCTAACCGACGTCAGGCTCAACAACACCTTGGGAGAGGAAGTGGAAGCGCTGATCAGTGGCCTCTGCAAGCCCAACGAATTTGACAAGTACCGAATGTTCATTGGAGACCTGGATAAGGTGGTCAGCCTCTTGCTTTCCCTCTCAGGACGCCTGGCTCGGGTGGAGAACGTTCTCAGCAGCCTCGGCGAAGATGCGGATAAACAAGAATGGGTACGGCAATTTTCCGACGTCTGAACCCGAACGCAGGTAGTCCTCAACGTACGACCACCTCTGAGCCCAAAGTTTCCACGGCTAAGCAAGACGGTCGTTACATGAGTTTTGCCCCATTTTATGACCTTTCTCGCCACCGTTGTTAAGTGAGTCGCTGCAATTGTTAAGTTAGCAACGCGGTTGTTAAGTGAATCTTGACTTTGGTTGTCAGGAGGTCCCAACAAGTGATCACATGACCCTGGGACACTGCAGTGGTCAAAAATACAGGTTAGTTGCCAAGGGTCCGAATTTGGATCACATGACCACGGGGAGGCTAAAAAGATTGTAAGTCTGAAAAACGGTCATATATCAGTTTTTTCGGTGCCATTGTCACTAAACAAAACTTGTAAATTGAGGACTATTTATATAGGTCGGGGGTAGGCGACCTTGGCTCTTTTATGACTCGTGGACTTCAACTCCCAGAATTCCTGAGCCAGCATTGGTCAGCTTGGAAATCTCTCCCTTTCCCCTCAGCATGGCTGGCTCAGGAATTCTGGGAGTTGAAGTTCACAAGTCATAAAAGAGCCAAGGTTACCTATCTCTGGCCTAGGCCTAGGCTGCTTTATGACTCGTGGACTTCAACTCCCAGAATTCCTGAGCCAGTATGGCTCAGCTTGGAAACCTCTCCCTTTCCCCTCAGCATGGCTGGCTCAGGAATTCTGGGAGTTGAAGTCCATCAGTCATAAAAGAGCCAAGGTGGCCTACCTCTGGCCTAGGCCTAGGCCGCTTTATGACTGGTGGACTTCAACTCCCAGAATTCCTGAGCCAGCATGGCTCAGCTTGGAAACCTCTCCCTTTCCCCTCAGCATGGCTGGCTCAGGAATTCTGGGAGTTGAAGTCCACGAGTCATAAAAGAGCCAAGGTTGCCTACCCCTGGTATAGGGCATTCATTGCACTTAAATTCTGAAAGAGGAGAATTTAATCAGTTTCAAATTACTAAAATCATTCCTAGAATCTTAATTTTCTGTCCTCCAGGAACCGTTGGAAAGCAGAATGCAATTGTCTCGCTCTTGCCAGCCTTGAGAGTCAAAGAACGTGCTATGATCACCGTCGGTTTTTCAGCGTCCCGTCCATCTGACAAAGAATAAAAATGCAGGAAATAGTATTTAGTCGTGTCCCCTGCAGCCTGGGCAAACGCGCTTGCACACAAACGTATTTTCTTGTCCCTGTTCATTGCAGAGAAGAAGAAAAAAAAAATATACGATAGAATTTCCCCAGTTCTAATTTTCAGCCTACACAGATAGTCCTCAACTTACAACAGTTCATTTAGTGGCTGTTCAAAGTTCAAAGTGACTGATGACAGTTTTTCACACTTGTGACCTTTGTAGCATCCCCAGGGTCACGTAATCAGAATTCAGACGCTTGGCAACTGACTCACATTTATGACGGTTGCAGTGTCCCGGGGTCACAACATCCCCTTTTGCGACTGAAGCAAAGTCAATGGGGAAGGCAGATTCCCTTAGCAATGGCGTTAGCAACTTAACCACCGCAGTGATTCATTTAACAGTGGAGGCAAGGAAGGTCATAAAATGAGGCAAATCTCACTTAGCACACGTCTCACTTAACCACAGAGGTTTTGGGCTCAATTGTGGTCGTAAATCGAGGATCACTTCTATGGATGTGTTGGTTTGCTGAAAAAAAAAAATCAGCGTGGTTAACAGGAGATGAGAAGTTCCTGGCTATGAAGCTGTCATTCTCATGTCATTGGCTCACTGAAATTATGGGAGGAGAATGACACGATGAAACATTTACAATTGGTGGCAGGCACTATAGAGGTTCAAGCATCTCATTCCTGATGCCTTATGAGGAAATTCATCTCTCCTTCTTCTGTAGTCTAGCCCAGGGGTCCCCAACCTCCGGTCTGTGGACCAGTACCGGGCCATGACATGCCAGCAACCGGTCCGCACAAACAAGGAAAGCCCCATCCGTGAGATGCAGGCAACACACAAAACCACGCCCCCTCCGGACCGTGGAAAAATCTCTCTCCACGGAATTGGTCCCTGGTGCCCAAAAGGTTGGGGGACCTCTGACATAAATGACCTCTTTTACCCCTCTTTCAAACCAATGGGGTAGGCAGATGTGGATGTTTGATGGTATTACAGATATCGTCGCAGGATGGAAGCTGTTCCTAGTAAGGCTGCCTTTTGCAATTGACTAATAGCGAATTTGTCAATGCCGATGATGGTGTTCAAGTGGTGCTCCAGTTGTTTTGGGATTGCACCCAAGGCGCCTATTACTCTTGGTACTGCCCTTGCTTGCCTTTGCCACAGTCTTTCTCTTTCTATTTATAGGTCTTTGTATTTTTTATTATTATTATTATTATTATTATTATTATTATTATTATTATTATTATTATTATGGATCATCGCACAGGTAGCCAGATGTTATTATTATTATGGATCATCGCACAGTCAGCCAGATGTTCAGACTGGATTTGGCATTTTGTCTACCTATCGAGTCCTTACCCAGGACCTGGGATAGGCAGATGTGGATGTTTTATGGTATTACAGATATCGTCGCAGGATGGAAGCAGTTCCTAGTAAGGCCGCTTTTTGCAATTGACTAATAGCGAATTTGTCAATGCCAATGGTGTTCAAGTGGTGCTCCAGTTGTTTTGGGATTGCACCCAAGGAGCCTATTACTATTGGTACTACCCTTGCTTGCTTTTGCCACAGTCTTTCTATTTCTATGTGTAGGTCTTTGTATTTTGTTATCTTCTCCAGTTCTTTCTCGTCTATTCTGCTGTCTCCAGGCACTGCCATGTCCACTATCCAGACTTTTTTTGTCTTTCTTATCGATAATTGTTAAGTCTGGGGTGTTATGTTGCAGGTGCTTGTCTGTTTGAATTCTGAAGTCCCAGAGCAGTTTAATTTTATCATTTTCTATGACTTTCTCTATTTTATGATCACACCAGTTTTTGCTTACAGGCAAATGATATTTTTTGCAGATCTTCCACTGCACCATTGTTGCTACTTTGTCATGCCGCTGCTTGTAATCAGTCTGTGCAATCTTCTTGCAACAGCTTACCAAGTGGTCCACTGTTTCTTCAGCTTCTTTGCTTAGGCGGCACTTACTGTCTTTTGCTATCTTCTCAATTTTGACTTTGTATGCATTTGTCCTTAAGGCTTGGTCTTGTGCAGCCAGAATTAGTCCCTCGGTCTCTTTCTTCAATTTTCCTACTCTTAGCCATTGCCAGGTTTTATTATTATCTGCTTTCCCAGCTATTTTTTTCACGTATTGGCCATGTAGTGCTTTGTCTTCCCATGCCTCTATTCTGTTCTTCATTTGGTCTTTCTTGTAGGCCAGTTTGGTCTCTCCAGTAGTTAGTAATCCTTCCTGATATACTAATTTCAGTGCATCTTCATCATTGTTTTTCAGATATTCTTCCAAAGCCATTTTTTTTTCTTCAACCATCTGGTGTACTTGTAGCATTCCACGCCCACCTATTTGCCTTGGTAGATAAAGTCTATCAATGTCACTGCGTGGATGAAGGGCATGATTCATTGTCATTATTTTTCTGGTCTGCCTATCCATTGCTTTTAGTTCTGCTTGAGTCCAGTCCACTATTACAGCTGTGTACCTAATGACTGGGATTGCCCAGGTGTTGATTGCCTTTATGGTATTTCCTCCATTGAGTTTGGATTTTAAGATCTTCTTCACTCTCTTGATGTATTCACCTCTAATCTTTTTTTGACTTCAGTGTGCTTGATGTTGTCAGCTTGAAGGATACCCAAGTATTTGTAGTACTCTTCCTCATCCAGACTCTTAATGTTATTTTCGTTGGGCATCTTGATTCCTTCAGTTTTCATTATTTTTCCTTGTTTGATAGTAAGTGTGGCACATTTGTCCAAGCCAAACTCCATTACAATATCTTGGCTATATATACGGACAGTGTTGAGCAGCGATTCTATTTCAGATGATGTTTTTTCCATACAGCTTCAGATCATCCATATAAAGGAGGTGGGATAGTCTGGCAGATGTTTTTGATGTTTGATAGCCATGTCCTGAGTTATTCAGTATTGTTGACAGAGGAAACAGTGCAATAACAAATAGTAATGGTGATAATGAATCTCCTTGAAATGTTCCTCTCTTGATATTAACCTCTCCCAGCTTCTCACCATTGATTTGCAACTGTGTCTTCCATTGTGCCATCGATCTTTGTACAAATTTTCTGATTTTTCTACTGACTCCTGTTATTTCTAGGCACTTGATTATCCAATCATGTGGCAGAGAGTCAAATGCCTTTTTGTAGTCAATCCATGCCACATTCAGGTTGGTCTTCCTTCTCTTGCAGTTTTCCAAGATCATTTTGTCTATTAGGAGTTGATCTTTTGTTCCTCTGCTATTGGGGCGGTTTCCTTTCTGCTCAGGTGGAAAGAGATTGTTTTCAACTAGATGCTGTTGTACTGCATCAGCTACCACACCAGTTAGTAAATTGAAAGTTGTTGGTAAACAGGTAATTGGCCTGTAATTGCTTGGTGTTGCCCCTTTTGCTGGATTTTTTATTATTAGGTAGGTTTTCCCAGTTGTTAGCCACTTTTCAATTTCTCCTCCTTGTAGTATATTGTTGAACTGCTTGGAAATGAGTGGGTGTATAACAGTTAGATGTTTCAACCAAAACCCATGCAGTTCATCTTCATCTGGTGCTGACCAATTTTTGATTTTCTTTGCTCTTTTTTCTACCATTTTTGTTGTTATTACTAGTTCTTTCATTTCAACTTCTGTTTTATTTGCATCCACTCTTTTAACCAAGCCGCACCCTTGTTGTATTTCTTTGGGTTATCCCATATCTGCTTCCAGAACTGCACTGTTTCTTCCTTGTCAGGTACTGACTGATTTCTTGCAGTTTCTCCATTGATGGATTGGTAGAAACATTTCTGATTGGATTGAAATTGGAGGTTCTGCCTATAGTTTGCAATTCGAGCTTCATATCTACTGATTTTCCTGGCTATAGCTGTTATTTGTTGTTTTATTATTTCCAGTGCTTCCTTGATCTTCCTTGTTTCTAAGTGGTATTTTTTGTTTAGGTATTCTTTGGTCTTCTTGTTCTTCAGCTTCAGATATCCAGGAACTCCAATATCTAGCGCGGACCTTGTTAACCCGGGCAACGTCCGAGCCGGTATGGCATTCTGCAGTTTACGTCTCACCATATTTTTTATGGGAGAGACACTCTTTGTCTGACTCCTCTGATGAGACCTGTCCAGTATGGTAGAATCTCTGGCATAGCTCTCATCTTCCTCAGAGTACACAAGCCCCACAACCACGTCAAGGTAGTGCCTCACTGGGGGTTGTTGTTGTTGTTGTTGTTGTTATTATTATTATTATTATATGCCTGTGCATAGAGCTTTCGTTCTAGAAATTTCAGGTTACCACAGGAATCCACATCATACCAGAGCCGCAGTGATAAACCTTTCATTTGTCTCTTTCCTCCCGCCCCCTCCATTTTTCTCTCCCAGGCTTCTCTGAACGAAAAGCGGAAGATGTTAGCAGGCCAGCACGAAGATGCCCGTGAGCTGAAGGAGAACCTGGACCGCCGAGAACGTGTGGTCTTGGACATCCTGTGCAGTTACCTCTCCGAAGAACAGCTCCAGGACTACCAACATTTTGTCAAGATGAAATCGGGGCTGCTTATAGAACAGCGGGAACTGGATGACAAGATCAAACTCGGGCAGGAACAACTCAAGTGCCTCTTAGACAGCCTCCCCACAGGATACTTCCTCGACAGCAAAACAGCCACAGAACCTCCAGCCACCCCGGGGATCAACTCTGAGAACAGATCTACCCCGTCTTTCCTCTGACCTTCTCCAGTCGAAGCTCACATTTAAACAAACAAAAAACGTCTTGCATTTATTTAATCAGACACAGAGTTTTAACTTTTGAAATTGAAGGGGGATTCATTTTTCTTTTTCTAATTAACCTAGGGAACTCAAACAGCCATGAAGGCTTTATGTATTGTTTTTATTTCTTCCCCCCCCCCCAAAGGGCTTTTTCAAAAGGCCACCGGACTTTGTTTTTCCTTAAAAGCTGTTTCGCTTCTGATCCAAGAAGCTTCTTCAGTTCCGAAGTTGACTTCTTGGTTTAGAAGTGAAACGTCTTTTAAGGAAAAACAAAGTGCAGTGGCCTTTTGAAAAAACACCTTTGGATCTGGATGATTGAGAAGCTCCGTAGACACTTACATTTCCCCCCCACCCCTTCTATCTGCAATCACAGCAAAACTGTCTGGAGCACATGAGGGAGGACTCTGTTCTAGTGGCTCAAAGTAACCCAGGAAGGAATGCCTTGTGTCCTGGGGAGGACATTCACTTCCAACCGTTCTGAGTTCAAGTCGTGCCCATTAAGGGAGCTCCAAATTAAATGATGAAGGATCTACAATAATGAAGCCTTAATTAAAACATTGCTGAGTTCTCTGCTGTGTCTTGAACAATATTTATATTTTTTAAAAGCTACGAGACAGAATTCTGTAAAGATTTTTGTACATAAACGAACTGGTTGTTTGATTCTACTACAACGATGCGGGGAGGCTGGGGTAGGGTTTTCATTTTGGGGTTTGTGTGTGTGTGTGTATGTGCTTAACAACAACAACAACCACAACAAAAAGAAGCATCTTTTCCCCCCCACACACAAAAGGGGAGAGACAAACAACCTAATGGCAGCACACCATAGTTTGGAGCGGCTGTGTGGATGATGCTAAAGGACACAACCGAAAAAGGCGCCAAGCTCCGAGTCAGGGATTCCTCGCGCACGCAAATATCGACATGCAGTGAGTTAAATTTGTGCTTGTCGACTCGAAAACGGGACGCAAATCCAGATTCACATTGGCAGAAGGCAGGAAGTAGGAAGTTCTCAGTTTTATGGGATGGGGAAATCCCCCATTTTAAGGAGTTGCACGCTTACAAATCCATGAGAATTGCCTGCCTTTCCAGGTATTGCAGGTCGATTCGTGCTCTTCTGCAAGCGTTGTACGCAGGGGAGACCTCTCTGCCCAATTTTTCTTTTTCTTTTTTTATGCTCAGCAGGATCCCGCCAGGTTGATGAGCGAGATGCGTAGGCATAGAACGTCTCTCTACCCACAATGCACCAGGCAGGCGATGGGTGGGGCGGGAGGACCTCTCCATTTGAACCTCTGCTGAAGGGACTCGAGAATGTTTTTGCACAGGAAAATACTGTCTTCCAAGACTGCGATGTGAGACCCAACCCAACACAGCACTTGCGCGAACAATACAACTCAGGAGTCAGCACGACACAGAAGCTTCTTCCTATATTTTCCTGCGGGACTGTTTGAAAACAATAAAAGTTGGAACACACGCCGCCTGCAAAGGGTCGGAGAGTTTTTTTCGAGGTGTTCCCCCCCCAATCTTTATTTATAGATTTTTTTATTTTTTTTTTAAAAAAAGAACAAACAAAATTCTTGGTTGTTTCTAAACACTGTGGTTCTTCGTTTTTGCTAACCTCTTTGGCTTGGACTTTCTGTAAAAGCGATCCAGAACTAAGATAACGTAGCACAAGGCGGACTGAACTGACACGTCACACAACACAGCCTCTTGTTTCAATCAAAAAAGGGTTTTTTTCCTTCTTTGTTCGATCCTAAGGATTTCTTCCTAACTTATTACAGCAGGGAAGTCGTTTCCTATTTCTATATTGTGTATGCACTCGAAGCTGTCACTCTACACCAGGGGTTCTCAACCTTGGCAACTTTAAGACTTGTGGACTTCAACTCCCAGAATTCCTCAGCCAGCAAAGCTGGCTGAGGAATACTGGGAGTTGAAGTCCACAAGTCTTAAAGTTGCCAAGGTTGAGAACCCCTGCTTTACACAACTCTACCTTGCTTTAGATCCAGGCTTCCCAACCTTGGTGACTTTTAAGACGCGTGGACTTCAACTCCCAGAATTCCTCAGCCAACACGGGCTGAAGTCCATGCTTCTGAAAGTTGCCGAAGTTGGGAAACCTTTGCATTAGATCGGGGGGGGGGATGTCTCCAAACTTGGGAACTTTAAGACTTGTGGGGTTTCATTTCCCATAATTCCCCAGCCAGCCATGATGCCTGAGGAATTCTGGGAGATGAAGTCCAAAAGGCTTAAAACTGCAAGTCTGGAGACTCCCACTATAGATGAATTCAAGGGGCAAGAATGTAAGTGATAATCTCTAAAGCAGCACCTGTTTCTTAAAGCTTTACGCTGGGCTATGACTGTAATACAAATGTGATGAAGATGATGATAAATCAGATATTCCTAGTAAATGATCTGCAGAGGGTTAGCCAAGGTTTACCTCTTCTTCACCCAACCTCAACTTACTTATTCCTTCTGCTTGCCCTTTTAGGTCCTCTAGGCCTCAAAAATGGCCAGCTGAAGGAAAAACTTTTAAAATAGCAAGGGAAAGGTAGGGATAAGAAAGAAAAAGAGGTCTATGAGCAGGAAACAGGAGCCCTGTCCCTGTTTCAGAATGTGTAGTTTCACTAAAGTAAAATTACTTAAAAAAAAAATGGAATATATTTTAAGAGCGTTCATTCTGGATATTTTTATTTTTGTAACGCCTGTGTAAGAAGAGTCTCAATGTTATAAAGCAGTTAGTCTCTCATTTTTTTCTTAAAAAACAAAAAAAACAGATCCCCTTGTTTAGGTTTGCACACTGCATTAAACTATGGTTTATTTAACTCTGGGTGGTTTGCTAAACCATAACGACATGGTCCATGCATAACAGTGTTATCAGCTATGGTTTATAAACCACAGGGGTTAAATTTATGCAATACTTACCTAAGCCAATAACATTACATTAAGGAATACTATAATGTGTGAGCCTGGTTGATGTATTTCCCTTTTTTTGTTTTTAATGAAGCCTGTTGACTCAAAAGAATCATGTTATGGTTGCTAAAGATATGCAAGTTCAACATTTGGCTAAATACAGAGATATCACTGTGGGGTCTTTGATGCTCTCTGTGCTTGGCTGTTTTCCTCTAGACGTCTCATTACCCAGCTAGGTAACATCATCAGTGCTGGTAAAGAATGGGGTGTGCTCTCAGTTTATATGCAGTGGCTTCCCCTATCAATGTTGGTACCAACAGTGTTATATATCTGTATATAAACAGAGACTCTTTCTAGCACTGATGATGTTACCTAGTTGGGTAATGAAATGTCTGCAGGAAAACAGCCAAGCTCAGAGAGCACCAAGGACCCTACAGTTCAACCTTGAAATACAAATACTTTGTTATCAGTGCAGAGATACCAATGGAAATGCAGGCGTTCAGTAGAAACTATAATTATGTCATTAGTGATGACACAGACTGTGCTTCTTTGGCATGATGACATGATACATCTGACGTCATTGGCATGTCCCTACACACACACCCATAATTGGTAAGTTCTCTAGTGTATAGGGATGTTATGCACGTGTCCTCCATCCCTATCATGGTGGCCAAAAGGTCTGATTTTATTTTATACCTGTAGCTCACCAAAAGCTGCAACTGAAGAGGGAGAAACTAGATTCGCACCTGTCAGCTTCTTTTTAAAAAATTGGACCGCACAACTCAAGTGATAAAATGCTTCCATTTGGTACTAGCTTCATGTCCACTTCATGTCCAGGTTTGATGTGGCTGCTCTTAACCATTTTATGAAAGGTTATTCCATTGCTTCATCGGTCATCTGATTCATCAATCATGAAATGCCTTGCTTATTCAATCATTCTTTGTAATGCAAGCCACAACTGGCTAAGCTCATGCTACAAACCAAAGCTCAAAACCTGGTTTACAAATCAGGGGCTAGGTTAACAGATCCATTAAGCCAAAATCAAGCCAACCAGGATTATAGTTTAGCACTGTGTAACCCAATCAGTCCTTCACAGGATTAGCCTTTTCCCCGCAATTCTGAATTCTCAGCCAGTTGTTGGACATGGACCTATGATAGATAATTCTTAGTTCTATTTTATCACTATCAGGCAAGACTGAACAATTGCAAATTAGCTACGACCAAGGAATAAACTAGGGCTCTCCAAACTTGGCAGACTTGTGGACTTCAACTCCCAGAATTCTTCAGCCAGCATGTCCACAAGTCTTAAAGTTACCAAGTTCGGAGACGCCGGGAATAAATAAATCCACCACATAGGCAGCATGGGTGTCTGTAGTAGGGCATGGCCCAAATTGTGTAATTTGCATCATTTAAACAAGTGCTTCCCTACCTTGAGAACTTTAAGGGGTGTGGACTTCAGCTCCCAGAATTCCTCAGCCAGCATAGTGGCTGAGGAATTCTGGAAGTTGAAGTCCAAAGCATTAAAGTTCTCAAGGCTGAGAAGTGTCATTTAAACAACGTGACACATGGCTTGGATTGGATGTCTAATCTTGATTTAGGAATTTACTCAGGTTCACTCTAGCCACGTTTAGCTCTTGGCTGGTAAAATCCCTCACTGAACTTCTGCTAAGTTTACAAGTTTTCCTGCAGAAGGAGATAAATTGAGAGCTTTGATGGCTCATTTTTAGCAACCACACAGTCTCAGCATCTTTATACCTTGCTGAGGAACAGATACTTAACAACTTTTATGGGATCAGAATGATTTGTGAAGAAAGGTGCTTTTGTAGAGGAAGAAGGAAGATCTTATCCTGAGCATAGCTTAAAATAACACTCTGCACATTTTTGTAGCTTAGCCAGTTGTCCCTTATGAGGTGGGTTGTGTTCCTTGGAAACCACAAAGGCTCTGGCTGGTTTCATTAAATAAAATAGCACCCATGAAGCTATGGGAGAACATTGGAGTTGAGCAGATTGCACTGCCTGAGGCACCTTTCAGATGTGTGAAGTTCAATTTCCAGAATTTTTAGCAAGGGTTATGCTGGCTGGGGAATTCTGGGAGTTGAAGTTCGGAGGCATGGAGGTTAGAGAAGTCTTCTAAAACAAGGGTCTCCAAACTGGACAACTTTTAAGACTTATGGACTTCAACTCCCAGAATTCCTCAGCCAGCCATGTTGGCTGCTGAATTCTGGGAGTTGAAGTCCGTTTAAAGAGGCAAAGTTTGGATACCCCTGTTCTTAAAGCTAGGAGCTTTGGTTTCCCCCAAATTCACCAGCATTATTGTGCCATCGTGTCTTGAGA